GGGTTCAGGATGCAGGCTCCAGCTGGGCACTGCTTACCACAGGTGGTGCAATGGGGTAAGGCCGGCTCACCACTGGCCTGGCCCTGCACCACGCTCAAAAGCAGCCAGCAAACTCCGAAGTCTCTACCTGTCCCCTATAGTGAACAGCGGGATTTTCCGTACCACTGAGACTAGACAGCGATGCTCCCTCTGAGATACATTGTTCTACCCCAACACGAACGAGTTAGCACTGCCCCTCTGACATAGTTACTGTAGTGACTGCCCCCTGCTGCCTCCAGTTCTCACCCAGCATTGCGCATGTGGGTTCTATTAACACATCTCTCCTACCTCCCATGTCCCGATCTCTGCCCGGAGAGCTGGGGGGCCCCCTTCTCCTTGGGCAGAGTTTGTGCCATGGAGCTGTTCTGGCACCACTTGTGTTAGCGATCTGTCTGCGGGAGCACTTGGTGCCCAGCACCCTTAGCAACGGTACTCTGCCAGCCTGGCCCTGTGCTCTCTACCCCAGACACCCCCTCTATCTATCCATCTGTCGGTCTGTCTTATCTATCCCCACACACCCCCTCTATCTATCCATCTGTCTGTCTGTCTGTCCCCATACACCCATCTATATGTCTGCCTATCTATCTAGGGCAGGACTGTATCTACATCTTCAGTCTGTGCTGCACCTGGTACACGGGGGCTCTGATCTAAGGCAGGACTGGGTGGCACGTAGCCCAGTGGGTCCCTGGTCTTTCGCTATTGCCCATGGATATTTCTTTTTCTCTGGGCTATGAGAGCACTGACACACAGACACCGTAGGGGAGGGGGAGTGACCCCAGCCCTGGTATTTCACTGGAGGGCTTAACATGCCCTGGGAGGAGCCCAGTGATGTTCCCAGAGACCAGGCTGGAAATGGGCACCAACCCTGAGACTCCCCCTGCAGTTAACGTGTGTGGCCATTCTCCAGTCTCACGAGGGAAAGGCAGGCAACGGGCAAATGGGACAGAACACACCAAGGCTGGGGCTACTATTTCCAATGCTGGTTTATTCGGAGAATTTGCTAAAGGCAGATTCCAGCCAGCAATGAGGTGCTGGGACACACACGCACACGCAAGCACCGGGTACCCCTCAACACATAGTTATACAGCATCCCCTTGGCATCGCCACGGCACCACGGAGGGGCCTTGGAAAGGGAGCTCAGCTTTCAGATCTTCGTTTGCAGGCATTAGGTGGGGGGTCAGGAGAGCAGGTTCACCAGCAGCAGTCCAGCAAGGGCCGGCAGGTAGAGAGCAAACGAGAATGTCCCCAGAGGAGAGGTACCTCCACAGATGTGGTCATTGGTATCCGGGGTGGTCACAGAACACATAGGAATGGTAGTGGCTGCAGGGGCGGTAGAAGTGGTTGTACCGGGGAGGCAGGGGTCATGTATAGCAGGGGTCATTGTATCAGGAATGCAGGGGTCTGGTGTAGTGGGGGAGGTTATATCAGGCATGCACGGGTCTGGTGAAGAGGGGGTGGTTATATCAGGAATGCAAGGGTCTGGTGAAGAGGGGGTGGTTATATCAGGAATGCAAGGGTCTGGTGAAGAGGGGGTGGTTATATCAGGAATGCAAGGGTCTGGTGAAGAGGGGGTGGTTATATCAGGAATGCAAGGGTCTGGTGAAGAGGGGGTGGTTATATCAGGCATGCACGGCTCTGGTGAAGTGGGGGAGGTTACATCAGGGTTGCAAGGGTCTGGTGTAGTGGGGATGGTTAGGGTGGAGGTGGATGTTTTAAGAGCGGTAGTAGTGAGAACCGACGTGCTCGTGTTTGGAACCGTAGGGGTGAGGCTGGAGGTCATCGTCTCCAGAGCCGTAGTCGTAAGAACCGAGGTGGTGGTCTTGGGAGTGGTCGTGGTGAGAACTGAGGTGGTCGTATCTGGAGCCATAGTGGTGAGGACAGAGATTGTCGTATCTGGAGCCGTAGTGGTGAGGACCGAGGTGGTCGTCTTGGGAGCAGTAGTAGTGAGGACAGAGGTGGTGGTGTCAAAAGCCGTACTAGTGTGGACTGAGGTGGTCATTTCGGGAGCAGTACTGGTGAGGACCGAGGTGGTCGTCTCCTGAGCCGTGGTGATGAGCACCGAGGTAGTCGTCACGGGAGCACTACTGGTGAGGACCGAGGTGGCCGTCTCTGAAGTGGTAGCAGTGAGACCCGAGGTGGTCGTATCCAGAGCTGCACTGGTGAGGACTGATGTGGTCATCTCCGGAGCAGTAGTAGTGAGGACCGAGGTGGTGGTCTCTGGAGCAGTAGTGGTGAAAACCGAGGTGGTCATCTCTGGCGCGGTTGTGGTGACAACCGAGGTGGCCGTATCCGGAGCCCCAGTGGTGAGGACCGATGTGGTTGTCTCCGGAGCCACAGTGGTGAGGACCGATGTGGTCATCCGTGGAGCCCCAGTAGTGAGGACCGAAGTGGATGACTCGGGAGTCGTAGTGGTGAGGACAGAGGTGGTCGTCTCAGGGGCTGTGGTGGTGAGGACCGAGATGGTCGTCTCAGGGGCGGCGGTAGTGAGAACCGAGGTGGTCATGTCCGGAACTATAGTGGAGAGGACGGAGGTGGTCGTCTCAGGAGCGGTGGTGGTGAGCACGGAGGTGGTCGTGTCCGGAGCCGTAGTGGTGAGGAGAGAGGTTGTTGTTTCTGGAGCCACAGTGGTGAGGACCGAGGTGGTCATCTCGGGGGCAGTGGTGGTGAGTACCGAGGTGGTCGTCTCAGGGGTGGTGGTGGTGAGGACCGAGGTGGTCGTCTCGGGGGCGGTGGTGGTCAGGACCGAGGTGGTCGTGTCCAGAGCTGTACTGCTGAGGACCGAGCTGGTCGTTGTGGGAGCCGTAGTGGTGAGGACCGAGCTGGTCATCTCAGGAGCGGTAGTGGTGACGCCCGAGGTGGTCGTCTCGGGAGCGGAAGTGGTGAGGACCGAAGTGGTCGTATCGAGACCCGTAGTGGTGAGAACCGAAGTGGTCGTCTTGGGAGCTGTAGTGGTGAGGATCGAGGTGGTCGTATCCGGAGCCGTAGTGGTGAGGACCGAAGTGGTCGTCTCTGGAGCCGTAGAGGTGACGACCGAGGTGGTCATCTCGGAGGCAGTGGTGGTGAGGACCGAGGTGGTCGTTCCGGGGGCAGTGGTGGTGAGGACCGAGGACGTTGTCTTGGGAGCTGTAGTGATGAGCACCGAGGTAGTCGTCTCAGGAGCCGTAGTGGTGAGGACCGAGGTGGTCGTATCGGGAGTGGTAGTGGTGAGGACCGAGGTGGTCGTGTCCGAAGCTGTAGTGATGGGGACCGAGCTGGTCGTCGCGGGAGCTGTAGTGGTGAGGACCGAGCTAGTCGTCTCAGGAGCGGTAGTGGTAATGCCCGAGGTGGTCGTCTCGGCAGCGGAAGTGGTGAGGACTGAGGTGGTCGTATCGATACCCGTAGTGGTGAGGACCGAGGTGGTCGACTCGGGAGCTGTAGTGGTGAGGATCGAGGTGGTCGTGTCCGGAGCCGTAGTTGTGATGACCGAGGTGGTCGTCTCAGGAGCGGTGGTGGTGGGGACCGAGGTGGTCGTCTCGGGGGCAGTGGTGGTGAGGACCGAGGTGGTCGTGTCCAGAGCCGTAGTGGTGAGGACCGAGGTGGTCGTCTCGGGGGCAGTGGTGGTGAGGACCGAGGTGGTCGTGTCCAGAGCCGTAGTGGTGAGGACCGAGGTGGTCGTCTCGGGGGCAGTGGTGGTGAGGACCGAGGTGGTCGTGTCCAGAGCCGTAGTGGTGAGGACCGAGGTGGTCGTCTCGGGGGCAGTGGTGGTGAGGACCGAGGTGGTCGTGTCCAGAGCCGTAGTGGTGAGGACCGAGGTGGTCGTCTCGGGGGCAGTGGTGGTGAGGACCGAGGTGGTCGTGTCCAGAGCCGTAGTGGTGAGGACCGAGGTGGTCGTCTCGGGGGCAGTGGTGGTGAGGACCGAGGTGGTCGTGTCCAGAGCCGTAGTGGTGAGGACCGAGGTGGTCGTCTCGGGGGCAGTGGTGGTGAGGACCGAGGTGGTCGTGTCCAGAGCCGTAGTGGTGAGGACCGAGGTGGTCGTCTCGGGGGCAGTGGTGGTGAGGACCGAGGTGGTCGTGTCCAGAGCCGTAGTGGTGAGGACCGAGGTGGTCGTCTCGGGGGCAGTGGTGGTGAGGACCGAGGTGGTCGTGTCCAGAGCCGTAGTGGTGAGGACCGAGGTGGTCGTCTCGGGGGCAGTGGTGGTGAGGACCGAGGTGGTCGTGTCCAGAGCCGTAGTGGTGAGGACCGAGGTGGTCGTCTCGGGGGCAGTGGTGGTGAGGACCGAGGTGGTCGTGTCCAGAGCCGTAGTGGTGAGGACCGAGGTGGTCGTTTCGGGAGCGGTACTGGTGAGGCCTGAGGTGGTTGTGTCCGGAGCTGTAGTGGTGAGGACCGAGGTGGTCGTGTCCGGAGCCGTAGTGCTGACGACCGAGGTAGTCGTGTCCGGAGCCGTAGTGCTGACGACCGAGGTAGTCGTGTCCGGAGCCGTAGTGCTGACGACCGAGGTAGTCGTGTCCGGAGCCGTAGTGCTGACGACCGAGGTAGTCGTGTCCGGAGCCGTAGTGCTGACGACCGAGGTAGTCGTGTCCGGAGCCGTAGTGCTGACGACCGAGGTAGTCGTGTCCGGAGCCGTAGTGCTGACGACCGAGGTAGTCGTGTCCGGAGCCGTAGTGCTGACGACCGAGGTAGTCGTGTCCGGAGCCGTAGTGCTGACGACCGAGGTAGTCGTGTCCGGAGCCGTAGTGCTGACGACCGAGGTAGTCGTGTCCGGAGCCGTAGTGCTGACGACCGAGGTAGTCGTGTCCGGAGCCGTAGTGCTGACGACCGAGGTAGTCGTGTCCGGAGCCGTAGTGCTGACGACCGAGGTAGTCGTGTCCGGAGCCGTAGTGCTGACGACCGAGGTAGTCGTGTCCGGAGCCGTAGTGCTGACGACCGAGGTAGTCGTGTCCGGAGCCGTAGTGCTGACGACCGAGGTAGTCGTGTCCGGAGCCGTAGTGCTGACGACCGAGGTAGTCGTGTCCGGAGCCGTAGTGCTGACGACCGAGGTAGTCGTGTCCGGAGCCGTAGTGCTGACGACCGAGGTAGTCGTGTCCGGAGCCGTAGTGCTGACGACCGAGGTAGTCGTGTCCGGAGCCGTAGTGCTGACGACCGAGGTAGTCGTGTCCGGAGCCGTAGTGCTGACGACCGAGGTAGTCGTGTCCGGAGCCGTAGTGCTGACGACCGAGGTAGTCGTGTCCGGAGCCGTAGTGCTGACGACCGAGGTAGTCGTGTCCGGAGCCGTAGTGCTGACGACCGAGGTAGTCGTGTCCGGAGCCGTAGTGCTGACGACCGAGGTAGTCGTGTCCGGAGCCGTAGTGCTGACGACCGAGGTAGTCGTGTCCGGAGCCGTAGTGCTGACGACCGAGGTAGTCGTGTCCGGAGCCGTAGTGCTGACGACCGAGGTAGTCGTGTCCGGAGCCGTAGTGCTGACGACCGAGGTAGTCGTGTCCGGAGCCGTAGTGCTGACGACCGAGGTAGTCGTGTCCGGAGCCGTAGTGCTGACGACCGAGGTAGTCGTGTCCGGAGCCGTAGTGCTGACGACCGAGGTAGTCGTGTCCGGAGCCGTAGTGCTGACGACCGAGGTAGTCGTGTCCGGAGCCGTAGTGCTGACGACCGAGGTAGTCGTGTCCGGAGCCGTAGTGCTGACGACCGAGGTAGTCGTGTCCGGAGCCGTAGTGCTGACGACCGAGGTAGTCGTGTCCGGAGCCGTAGTGCTGACGACCGAGGTAGTCGTGTCCGGAGCCGTAGTGCTGACGACCGAGGTAGTCGTGTCCGGAGCCGTAGTGCTGACGACCGAGGTAGTCGTGTCCGGAGCCGTAGTGCTGACGACCGAGGTAGTCGTGTCCGGAGCCGTAGTGCTGACGACCGAGGTAGTCGTGTCCGGAGCCGTAGTGCTGACGACCGAGGTAGTCGTGTCCGGAGCCGTAGTGCTGACGACCGAGGTAGTCGTGTCCGGAGCCGTAGTGCTGACGACCGAGGTAGTCGTGTCCGGAGCCGTAGTGCTGACGACCGAGGTAGTCGTGTCCGGAGCCGTAGTGCTGACGACCGAGGTAGTCGTGTCCGGAGCCGTAGTGCTGACGACCGAGGTAGTCGTGTCCGGAGCCGTAGTGCTGACGACCGAGGTAGTCGTGTCCGGAGCCGTAGTGCTGACGACCGAGGTAGTCGTGTCCGGAGCCGTAGTGCTGACGACCGAGGTAGTCGTGTCCGGAGCCGTAGTGCTGACGACCGAGGTAGTCGTGTCCGGAGCCGTAGTGCTGACGACCGAGGTAGTCGTGTCCGGAGCCGTAGTGCTGACGACCGAGGTAGTCGTGTCCGGAGCCGTAGTGCTGACGACCGAGGTAGTCGTGTCCGGAGCCGTAGTGCTGACGACCGAGGTAGTCGTGTCCGGAGCCGTAGTGCTGACGACCGAGGTAGTCGTGTCCGGAGCCGTAGTGCTGACGACCGAGGTAGTCGTGTCCGGAGCCGTAGTGCTGAGGACTGAGGTAGTCGTCTCTGGAGCTGTAGTGCTGAGGACCGAGGTGGTCGTCACGGGAGCTGTAGTGCTGAGGATCGAGGTGGTCGTCTCGGGGGCTGTGGTAGTGAGGACCGTGGTTGTCGTGTCCGGAGCCGTAGTGGTGAGCACCGAGGTGGTCGTCTCAGGAGCGGTGGTGGTGGGGACCAAGGTGGTCGTGTCCGGAGCCGTAGGGCTGAGGACCGGGGGGGGCGGGT